GCTGAGGGGAAGAGGGCGCCTCCCTCTCTTCTTTCTCTCACTGAGGCCTACCTGAGAAGGGGGCGTGGGCGGCGGCGAGCAGGCCGGCGGAGAGAGAGAGAGGAGGGAGGCCCCTCTTTCCATCATCCTCAGGGCTGCGAGGAGGAAGACCCTTTTCCCCCTCTCCTCCCCCCCCCCCCGCTTTTCTCCGGGGAGCGGCAGTTGGCGGGGGAGCGGGAGGGGGCTCTCTTCTTTCTCTCACTGAGGCCTACCTGAGAAGGGGGCGTGGGCGGCGGCGAGCAGGCCGGCGGAGAGAGAGAGAGGAGGGAGGCCCCTCTTTCCATCATCCTCAGGGCTGCGAGGAGGAAGACCCTTTTCCCCCTCTCCTCCCCCCCCCCCCGCTTTTCTCCGGGGAGCGGCAGTTGGCGGGGGAGCGGGAGGGGGCGAGGCGAGGGCGAACCTGGCGGGCCTTTGTCTCCCAAGGAGGGAGAAAGGGGGGGGGCTCATGGTTATCAGCTTCCTCCTCCTCGTGGTTATGGAGAGCGCACCTTTCAGAGAAGTCACCTGGAGGCTTTCCCAGCCCCAAGTGTAGAAGGCCCCTGAAGTCTCCCATCATTTGGGGGGGGGGCGGAGCTCCTGTGGATTGCCTTCCGCTCCTTGGCCCACCACCAGCCTCCTTATCCACTCCCTCTCGGGCCCAGCCTTGGAGGTTTCTAACATGGGCAGTGAGATGGATAGGGCTTGGTGGGCACACACCTTAAAAGCCCAAAACCGTTGAAAGGGGGATTGGTCACAGATTGCTAAGGATTTGTAGGATCCAGAAAGCGACAGTGCTAAAGCAAATGAATAAAAAGCACAAAATCTCAAAGTGCACATCACAACACAGAAGAGTAGAATACTGTATAACGGTCAAGGGAAGGTGCTTACTGTTACAGGTGGTGGTTGCAGGTAAAGTATGTGGGTGAAGAACTAGAAAGAGGGGAAGAGCATCTTGGCGGAAGAAGCTTAGAGAATGATTTGAATGCAGCACAATTTCATTGTTCAGAGCTGTTGCACCTAGAGTTTGAAATGGCCAGGATGATGTCCAGCCTCAGGTAGAAAAGGAATAATAATGTGTGTACTTACTCAGAAATGAGCTCCCCTCTAAGCTCACGTTTTGGAAAGGCCAAGTGCTCTTGCCTGTTGGCGGCAACAGTAGTGGAGAGTCTGGTGGCATCTGAAAGACAAATGAGGTTTGTTTGAGGTAAGCTTTGGTGGACTGTAGCCCACTTCTTCAGAGGCTGCAGACATGGGTAACGCTCTGGGAATGCTTAATGACGCTGCTTAGGGTTCAGCATGCCACAAGACATGTGGTTGCATTTGCTGCATTGGGCCAGCACAGCTGCCCCTTTTGAAACTGACTCTGTGTGTGTGTGGTGTGTGTGCGATTTCTGAGTAAATAGACCTGTCCTTGCACTATTGTTCACAAGCAGAATCCTTAAGGACTGTCCAATGTATTGTGGCAAAAAATTTTTGTAGACTATAATTTGCATGAAGTACTATCCACTCTAGACAAATATACACCAATTATAGACACCAAACTACAGGACGCATTTCTATACAAAGCTAATTTTTTAAATATATAAGCACAACTTCATTCACAATTATGGCTCCTCATGTCTTTGAGTGGTTTCTGTCATTGATGGATATAACAACTTGTTCCTCTGCAATGCTAAATTGGGTGTTACTGTGGAGATTTCAGCTAATAATGTAGCTTTAAATTGCATCACTGAGTGAGCCTCTTAGCCTTCAGAACATATGTTTTCATTTTTCAGACCTAACTTTGAGGTCAGGGACTCCTTTTGTTATGTAATCTGTTTGGAGATCCTTTTTACTTATACAGCATAGTGTAAATGCCATAAATAATTTTATAAGTAACAAGAACCCACTCTGCTTGCACATTGTAACTGGTTTAGAATTAACTACCAGATGGTGTGGAGAATGGCCGTGTTTCACTTGTAAGGTTCCTGGATGCATCTGGTTGTCCAAAACATATCTCTGGACCAGTGGGACCATTCATTTGATTTATCAGGAGTCTTATTACTTTAACTTGTCTTAGCATTTGTAAAATAATGCCTGGGCTTCAGTCAGGGCGCTTGTTCAACTTCTGTGCTGAAAAATAAAAGATAAGTTATTTGAGGTTCTTCATTGTTCCTTCAACTTCAGACTTCACTTTTCATAGCAGCAAACCTTCACTCTGGCTTTAAAGGTTTAGTGTGATGGTGTTATACAAAATGTTTATCTGCTAAAGCTTGCACATGCGTACCAATCAACTCTAGCAGATACGGATTCTGCCAGATAGGAAGTCATCAAGATTTAGGCAAAGTTTTTGACTTGTCTGCTGTGCTGGGCTTAATGTTGAAGATAATAATGCCTGCCATACGTGACATAGTACAAATATTTGGTGGGCCAGCAATTTTGTGGATCCCTTTGCAGTGCTGGCTTTCCATAGCTAAAGGTCTGTGTGTTGTTTTGAATGTCTGAACTTCTTTTGAATTGCATTAAAATACACACTCTTGGGCAGTGATGCGAGTGTTCCAGAAAAGGTTCAGAATTTTCCAGTACGCTCAAGTGTGATCTGACTTAGAATGTCTGTTTGGCTTATGTTTACTTAAAGCTTGAATTCCAACAGTTTGTATCTGTCTGAGCTGAAATATTTTATGGGGAGGGGGAGAGATAAAGCATGCTTAATGTGGGCTAAAGTCCAGTTTATGTGGCAATTATTTTTATTAGAATACATGTATTTAAGTTTTAACAGTAATGTGTACTCCTTTACATGACTGCTTTAATCTTAGGGGCCGGGGGAGGCACTGGAGACTGTTGACACAAATTTTAGAGCACTTAATCAACTGTCTCTCATGTGCTTGCAACAGTTGCCAGTTCTCTTTTCATTGAGGTTCACAGCTTTACTGCTACTGCCTTCAGAATTGCTTCCACTATTTAACTTGCTGAATGTATTGGTGTCCATCTATTGTTACTAATTCACATTACTTTAAAAAAATTTTTTTATAAATGGGAAAGTTCCTGTGGATTTTTTTAAAAAATGTAATCTGTTAATCCACTGGTTCCTCCAAGCTGAGTCATGTGTGAGAAATTTCTTTGTTAAATTGTGTAGTGATCTGTGTCCACACAGAAGGCATACTTGTGCCTGCCTTTACATTCCGTTGTTATAGTAGTAGGTTTTTTGGGGGAAATTGCCTGGAGACACCCTTTCTCAGATTAAATGAGAATTCTCGTAGTTGATTTGCCTACTTATACTGTCATAACTATCTTCTAGGCTTGTGAACGCTGCTTCCCTTTCACGTGGACACATGGAGAAAGTGTACAGATTGGCAGTAGGGGCAGGAAATTACAGATGTTTGTAATCAGACTGGACAGTTGCCCACAAACATTGGACAGTGTGATGGTTAGGGATGTGCTGTACCCAGCTCAGCAGTCAGCATTGGCTAACTCTTTTAAAGTGGTCCAAGAAAGTGACTGGCCTGTGCGTTTTTTTTTCATTCACAAGAGGGATTGGTGAAGAACGAATGGACCCTTTGGGCCTGACTTGTCGGTCAGCTTCTGATTTTATAAGGAAAAAACGGGCTTTCTTTGTAGGCTAGAGAGGGAACAGGATGGGAGAGGAAGCATGGAGTGCTCCCTAGGTCCTCTGCCCAAGTAAATGGTGGTAGTCTTCTTTCAGTGCTGGATGCACAGGAGGTTCATCTACTGTGTGTGAAGCATGGAAAAGCAGCAGGCTGGTGACAGAGGGAAGGATCCTGGCTTCCTGAGGTTTCTATGCCTCCAGCTTTCTGTGCTATGCTTGCAGCAGAAGGCTCGTGGAAGGACGGCCAAAGAAGCAGTGAAGCACTCCATATATATTCGAGAAACCAGCTCAGTTTCTGTGCTAGATGGAAAGAAAGGAGCCTCCAGGGGTTGTTTCAAGAGGAGCAGGTTGCTTAGTCTTCAGGAGGAAATTCTTTCCAAGCTGGAGCAGCTGGTCAGTAGTTAAAAACAAAGATACAGTTCAGCCTGCTTGGACATTTTCTAGAATAGATAAACTGTCTCCAAGCAGAAACAGTGAACATTGTGAGGCAATGTACACACTAGCTTATACATATAAACACATTTCTTGATAGTGGTAGATGATATGTGATGACAGGGAAGTGTGCACAGATCCCTTGTGGATGCTTATCAGTTAATGCCCCATTGCCTGACACTTATGTATATTCACAGGTGAGCTGACAGTGAGCCAAACATTACATTACGTTGCATGCATCTTTTGAATTTATGAGGGAGGCGGTACCTACAGCAGCTGCTTTCTCTCCCCTCATCCGGTTTGGGACTGGCACAGGCAGGACAGTGTTTAACCTCATCTCCCTGTGCCACAGCCCTGCCAAAGATCCTTCCTGAGAAACTGATCTTGGCATTCCCTCCAAAGGGTGGTCACTTATCAGGACCCTAGCCCTCCAAACATGGCACAGCCCCAATCCAGTTCCTCCCCCGTCACATCAGGAAGTGTGTTGATGGTATGTTGAATGTGCTTTTTTTGGGCTCATTCTGGACTTCCAAGTAGTGGTGTAAAAACTGCATTTCAAAACCAACAAGTGTGACTTTCAAAGCAAAAACGGTCTTCCTGGTTTTTTTTCCAAATGCAGGGAAAATGATGAAACAGGAAAGGATGAGACCTCCTCTGGAAAAGGAAAGTACGTCTCAAAACCGAAGGCTATTCCATCTCTTGGACACAGGAATAGATTCCATCCATACGCAAAGGAAAAAAGTGCAGGCTCTGGAGAAAAGAAGACCCTTAACCGTAACAGAGTATTCATTAGCAACATCCCGTATGACATGAAATGGCAGTCTATTAAAGATCTTATGAGAGAGAAAGGTAACTTGCTCCTTGCCGTGTGCTTCACAAAGGAATGGGGCATACTCAAATATTTGGAGTACTCTGACCTGTACACGTTTGGTTTGTCCCTTTCAACCTCTGCCTGATAGCTCTGCCTTTCCCTTCTCTTTCCCTGGAGGCATTTGCATTGCAGGATAGCATGGGTCAATGAATGAAGTATCCACAGTCGTCTTCCATTCTGGTTGATAATAGTTAGCCTAGAGCTTATGCATCATGATAAGCCTTCACGAACATATAAAGGGACTGTGTCATGTCTAGCTGTAGTTTGAATATAAGCTATACTTAGTGTGTTTTTAAAAGTGTGAATGACAAAGGATGTCTTTCCAAAGATGTTTTTGCATTTTTCTTGGTGGAATCTGGCTGTGGAATTATTTCTGTCTTCATTGTCACTTCTGCCATGACTTGTCTGTCTGGAGCTCTATTTCAAGTGTGTTCCTATAGTTGTAGTTTGACAGAAGGATTTGAATGTCCCACATGTCTTGCCTGAGGCAGGTCTGGGCCAGGAGAAATCCTAACTCATGAACTGTCCAAAGGGAGCTTTGCATTAATTTGGGAAAAAACGATTGCTTCAAAATCATGCAAAGAACATTTGGTTTCTAGGTTTTTCTAAAAATTAAAATGCACCTTTTAACTGTGCTAGGTGTATCTGTTGTAAGGTGACGTGACTCTATGATTGGGTTTATGCAATGAAACTTTAGAAAGTGTGTGGCTTGCTGTGAAATTTCTTGATTCTTGTAAATTGGTTATTCTATTGAAGGCAACCTCTACGATTTGAAGCTCTTCAGGTAGAAAGTCACCTTAAAACAGCTGTTGTGAGCAGGATGATAAATGTCACTGAAAAGTGTTATTGTTGATGTCTTAATTGATAGGTGAGGGGACTATTTGTATATCTGAACTTGTTCACCAACTATATCATACTGGCCAAAATATGATCTGTAGTATGAATTAGGTTAAATCTAGTTGTTTTTCTTTAGCTTTTGAGAATGTGGCTGTTGCATATTCCAGAAATTTAGCTAAATTACATAGTCCTTGACAGGAGGTCCGTTGGTCTGGTTTTGATTGTTGGTGAATAATAGGTGCTGCTTCGTAGAGTTGTGCAGAGGGACACAGCAAAGCAAGACTCTTGGTGTTTAAATGCCTTGTCTCTTGGTATTTTCCCTTTGTATGTCTTATGTAGTTGGTGAGGTTACATACGTGGAGCTGTTTAAGGATGCAGAAGGAAAATCAAGGGTAAGTGCCGTGGGCAATCATCTGCTAGAGGTTTAAAGTTCCTCAGCAGTTTTACTTTTGTATAATACTTGTACCAGTAATTGGAAAGTAAGTTTCATTTTTTTACACCTTGATGTTATTAAAGATTGAGGCTTCTGTATCAGGTACAGTGTGTCAACTCTTTATAAACCAGTGTAGCTGGATGCAAGAGGAAAGCTCTTTAATACGTGTTTTAAATAAATGGCATTTACCTAATGCATTTAAAAAAAACAGCTCACTTGAGGGTTTCTGTTGTGTTCAGATGTGCTGAAGTTGAGGATTGGAAAAAAATAACTGAAATGAAAAATTTTGATGACTTTAAAGTTTTGATGAGCCTAAAGATTGTAGGACTACTTCTGGATTATTGATCTTGTCTAGGTTTTTAAAAATTGGAGTGGAAGGACTTGGTTGGTAGGCAGTGGATGCCAGCAACGAGAGAGGCAATTTAGTGCAAAGAATGTTAAAGCTGCTTTGTGTCTTTCTTCTTAAAAAGGTCAAACGTTCAAACTATAATAAGTCTGAGCCTGCTGTGTGAACATGAGAAATGCAGGTTTGACTCAAATGTAAGCAATGGGTGTCTGATTTTTTCCCCCTTAAGATTTTTTTACTTAACTGCTTTCCTGAAATTTGTAAAATGGAAAAGGTGCCAGTAATTGTTCAGCCATGTAATTGCAGTCAAACTTATGGAACATCTAAATATCATGCTTCAAGAGAACCATTCAAGGAAAGTCCTGGATATTCCCAGTTTTTTCCTTTTAGTTGGTCACAAGGCTCTGTGTGTTGTTTTCTATTTGACTTCGGTTTTGGTTCAAGGAAAGCATAGTGGAAATAATCTAAATTGAAAAGAATACAAAGAAAACCAAATACCTACTTTCTGTGTTTTTAAAACTAACTGTAATTAAATTCTACACTGTGTGTTAAAGGTAGTAGGATAAATTATTAATTCTACTTTTCCTACTCCAGAATCTCTGTTCTTTGTTTGTGATGTCTGTTTTGTTCTGTTTGCTTAAAACCTTACAGTACTTTATTGAAACAACTGTGTTTACTGATTCAGTGTCATTTTTTCCCTTCTGCATGTTGGTGAACCTTCACCTGAATACAGGGCTGTGGGTAAGTGCTTATTGCGTTTCCCTTAATATTTAAGAACACATGAAATGGTATTTTAAAAAACTAATTTTAATTATTTCTTTCATCCAGTGTGGTTGAATTCAAAGATGAAGAGTTTGTTAAGAAGGCACTGGAAACTATGAATAAATATGATCTCAATGGAAGACCGCTGAACATAAAAGAGGTATTATGTTTGTAATTTTGTAGCTGAGTACTGAAACAGTAGTGGATTGAAATAAGAGAAGATCTGATGTAGACTTACTAAATGCTTTCCCAGGTGCTCATATGTAGTAATAATTTCTGTTAATTTCCCAAACAAGCAGTGATAAAAATTCATTTGTCTTTTAAAATATTCAGTTTCTACTCCTTGTTTCTATTAGTCATAACTTGTACATAAACTGGTTGAGCAAGCTGCTGCCTCAGTACGGGTGCTTAGGAAATTTCCAAGCCCTGGGTATAACCCAGACTTCAGATAAGGATACTCTGGTGTCATGAGGTTGCTTATGTTGCGGGGCGGGGGTGCGCCCCACTGGTTTTCTGTGGAACTAAAACATCCCTGCTTCTTTTTTTGGGGGGGGGTGTAGATCATCTTTATACGCTTTAATTTGGGATGCATTAACTCATGCTTATTTTCTGATTCAATGTGTTCTAGGATTCAGATGGTGAGCATGGTCGCAGAGCATTGCAGCGTGGGAGTGGGCCATATACAGGAGGACATGGCCCTGATATAGCTCCTGGGTTGATGAATTTACCACCCTCTATTCTTAATAACCGAAACATTCCTCCTGAACTGATCAGCAATCTGCAGGCTGGCAGGCTTGGATCCACCATTTTTGTTGCCAATGTGAGTATAAAGATGGACTGGATGCACATCAGAATTTTGGAGCACAACATGCAGTTTCCATGGCGAAAAAAGAAGGGTTCTTCTAGCTGGGAGGAATAGGAACCGTTTCCATCATGTTGCCACTCACTTACTTGTCAATGGGTTTGTGTTTCTAAACTGGGATGTAGCCCTTTAGAGTTTTAGAATCTTGATCTTTGTTCTTAAACCTGCTGTGCAATTCGTGAAACCATTTTAATGGCACTCTATGGTGGGCTACAAGTGTACATGAAGGGTCTTGTGTCTCATGGTAATTGATTTAAATTACACAACCAATACATCTTACTTTGTCTATACTTCCATAAACAAAATTACGGTATGCCACATTCGCTTACTTCATTATCTTCCTTCAAGTAACTTGAACCTAAGAAAATATGTGAATTGAATTTCTTTCTGTGACAGTATTGTTCATTAACCTTTTGAAAAAATGAAAGGATGCAATTTAAGATGTGCAAACAACTGGAACACAGATATTTCAATTTAGTGCTCATCATGCATCTCTGTATGTCTTTGAAATATTTGTGTCTTCAAGCTGTGGGTATAGTTTAGTCTTTATGAAAACATCTTCTGTTTGCTGAAGCAATATAAAGTTCGTTTGTCTCATGGGTGCATTATCTTTTTAAGCTTGACTTCAAAGTTGGTTGGAAGAAGTTAAAGGAGGTCTTCAGCATTGCTGGGACTGTAAAACGTGCAGATATCAAGGAAGACAAAGACGGCAAGAGTCGAGGAATGGGAACGGTGACCTTTGAGCAGCCCATTGAAGCCGTTCAGGCAATATGTATCCTGACAGTTCTGAAGTGTTTTGTCCGATGTGGGAGTAGCAATGTTAGGAGGAAAATAAAAACCATGAACTCTTCTGCCTCTCTTTACAACACAGTGGGGTTGGTTTTTAGGCACAGGTTCTGCTTTTTAGTCAGATCTGGGGGAGGGGGAGAGAGAGAGAGAGATTAACAATAGATTTGGCAAGGGAAGAATTTGGCAGTATGTGGGATACTAATGTGATTTACAGTTCATTGCAGAAATGCAGAATTACTTCGCATTTGCTGTTGCTTTTGTACAAAAACGTGACCTGGCACCATTGCTGTGCTTCCTGTTTTTTCAGTTGGATTTTGGGGAACTAATCTTTAGAGGAGAAGGAAGAAGTAAAAAGAGTAGGGGTATAACAGGGTGCACCCTATGGGGGAAGAAATAGCATGTGGTTCGGGTTGACCTCTTCCAGTTTGAACCGGGTCTGTTCCCCAGCAGCTTCCCTCTGGTTCCCTGTTGGCCACCTGTAATTTAAGTACCAGGTTGAAATGTAAGTGTTCTACTACGTTAAGAGAGAGGACAGCTATTCAGGAAACAGAATGAAATGCATGTAGGAAGACTTTGCCACTCAGTTGATTTCACTTCCATTCTTGTTAAATCAATGAACAGATTGTGAAGGAATTCACAGATTTTAATAGAACTGCCTGCCAAGAGCATAGGGAATGGTTACCATGTTAAAGAAACCTTCTGCCTTCCTTTCACGCCCAGCTCAGAATTGTCCATACAAGGGATCAGGTAATATTTGGAAATGGGTAGGGACCATAGTAGATCTGGGGGGGCATGGGGGGGCACATGGTGAGCAGTGTTGTTTGAAAAATCAAGGTTGCTGGTGAGAGGGAGACTCCTTGACTGTCTGCTCAGCTATGTTCAACGGACAGTTCCTCTTCGATAGACCCATGCATGTGAAAATGGTGAGTGACCTTTTGAACTGCCAGTGGCAACCGAAGCCAAGTGGCGTGCCGTTGTGTAACCTCTCTGTCTTGTTGCTAGGATGACAAGTCAATCCCTCATGATGATTTTCGTGTAGCAGACAGCAAAACACCCCAGTTACCCCGTGAGTGTGAACTTCTTCTCCACTTGAGATATCTGTTAATAACAGTTACTGTTACATCATTTTAATGTCTTTCTGAGATGCCCCTGCCTTGGAGCCACAGGAACCGTGAACCCTTACAGAGAGCCTTTTATTCTTGTTGTTGTTCTTTGTAGGTGGCCTGGGAGGCATTGGAATGGGCCTTGGACCTGGTGGGCAGCCAATCAGTGCCACGCAGCTGAGCATGGGGAGCGGCATGGGCAGCGTGGCCCCGGCAGGTCAGCCTCATCTTTCTCTCTCTCTCTCCTGAAGGGTCAAGAGCCATGTTTGTGTGCCTTCTGGTCGGGGGAGCACCCTCTGGAGCTCCAGCCAAATCCTTAAAACATTTTGTAGCTCATCCCAAACTCTTAAATGTAGAAAAGGGCTGAATGAAGGGCAGGATAAATTAGCAAATGTTAAGAGGGCCTTTTGGGTCATGGTGCCCCACCTGTGGAACTGTTTGCCAAGATACGATCACCAGGACAAACACCTTTTTTTCTTCTCCTTTCACATTTTTAATCATTTAAAAATGTGCCTCTTGTGCATTGATTTTATTGTGACACTTTTGGGAGGCAGTTTGTTGGAGGCAGAGAAACACTCCGGATAAATAAATCATTTCTCAACCCGCCTTGGTGCTTCTCTTTGATTTCAAGGTATGGGAGTGGATGGTCCCGGCTTTGGAGGAATGAACAGAATGGCTGGCGGTGAGTATGCTCTCTCCAGTGAACTCTTTATTTCCACGCAGCATTGGTGAAGGAAGTAAAAGACTTTCTGCTTCTGGTTTAGGGGTTGGTGGATTTGGCGGCATGAAAGGAATGGCAAACATGGGAGGATTTGGCGCAGTCAATCGAATGGGAGGTAGGCCACCCTTTCCTCTTTGAATCTGACCTGGTCTCTGTGTGCCGTGACTCTGCGTGTGATAAACATGGCGCCTCTCTCTCTCTAGGGATGGGCAGCGTGGACGACTTCAGAGGGAACATTGGTACTGGCATGACTGGTGGCCTGGGAGCAGGCATGGGAGGGATGGCAGCCGGCATGGGAGGTGAGTGCCCCAAAGGCCACCTTTCCTGCCCCCCCCGAGCAGTGGCTTCATGCCTGAAAAGGAGCGAAGCTCACTGCCTTATTCGTTGATCCTTGTTTGAGACTCCGCTGAAACGCAAGCTTGTTAAACACAGTGTGATAGAGGCCACTGATCAGAAGTTAGAAGCTCTTCTGTATTCTTCCCTTTGAAAATTGTTCAGAGTTTTGACCTAGGGTTTTTCCCTGACATGTGGAGTCTTCTCTTAGACAGATGGGCCAAGTTGCTTTTTAGCATCTCAGCATTCACAGAAGGTGAACTGCATTATAAGCAGATCAGCAACGTTCCCTCTAATTTTCTACCCTGCTGAATGGGGCTATACCCCTCTCTCATGTGATTTCACCTGTACACATGTGCCATCCCCTGTCTCCCCCACCCCTGGTGGAGTTCTGTCATTACCACAACCAAATGGGCTGAAAATAATCACTGTTGGCGTATGGAGGGGGGTAGGGTCACATGCATGCAGGTGTGCCTCTCAGGGGAACCTCACAACATTAAGGATGGGGGTAAACAAGAAGATGATTGCAACATGCCCTCTGGTTAAAAGGGTGGGGAAAAGACTTGTTTTTTAAAAATAAAATATATATATATAAAGCATGAGACCATTGACTTATATTGATAGCATCTTAAATACTGTGAATCCAGTTTTGTGCGAAAACTGTTAATTCCAGCATTAAAATGGAAGGCTTGCTTTCTCACATGTGCGCGGGTTCAGGCTCAAACTGGAAGCCGTGTGAAATGCTTGCGCCAGTGGCATCCGGTGAGAGAGACTGACCCTCACTGGGCCTCAGAGGGGGCAGGCAGGTTCAGTCTGCTTTCCCTGATTTCAGCACTAGGAAAGGTTTTTTCTTCTTGTGGAAAACCTCCTGGTTGCTCCAGGTTTCTCTTCCCTGATTCCTGTCTCAGGATACTCATGCCACCTAGGGTCTACTTTTTAAAAACCTGTGCGCTCTTGTTTTCTCACCAGAAATGTTCCGTGGTGGAATGGGGGGCAGCCTCGAGAGAGACTTCGCCCGGAGCGACATGGCCATGAGCCGTGGCTTTGGAGACTCCTTTGGAAGGATGGGTATGACTTTGGGCCAGAGGGCCCTTTCTTGTGGGATTGATTGCACGCCAGGCATGGAGGAAGCAAACCATTTTTGCAAGTGAACATGACGTCACTTCATACTCATCTCCTCCCCCCCCCCCGGTGGCTTGTGAAGAGAGCATTGAGTCCTTCTGGAGTATGGCACAGTAGTAGTAGTAATCGAGTTTTTCCTACACAGTTTTTGAATCTGAGGAGAAATAGAGGAGCCACCTGGATCAGAAATCAAATTAATGTCTGCTAATTTGTTAGGCAAACACATAGATGTGGTTTCATTGCTCTTCTGCTGTGTAGCATATTCTGCAAAGAAAGGCATTCAGTGAGAACCCTGTGGTGAATATAGTCTCCTTTTTTTCCAGCAGCTTGCCCTAATTTAGCTGTTATGTGTTGAGAGCCTTGTGCCCCATGAAGAGTACTTACAGAAAGAATTGCTTTGTGATAAGAATGTGGTTTGGTAGAATTCCCCGGCTCTTAAACAGACTTATATAACATGATCTTTTTTTATCCTTGTTTAGGTGGTGCAATGGTTGGTGGTTTTGCAGGAGGAATGGGAGCTTCTAATATGGGCCCAGTAGGATCTGGAATGAGTAGGTTGATCTGTTTCGGCCAAATATTAATTCAGGTTATAGAAACAGGTGGAGGGGGGAAGATTCAATATTTCCCATGTGATACAGCTGCAGTTTTAATGGAAGCTGTGGTGTTTTGTAGCTACACCCACTAGTTGTGTCCTGTCCTAGTGCATTGTGTTCAGATCTGTTAGTTTTCGGGGGCAAAGAACAACTCCCAGATTAAGATTTATTTAAGAGTTTCTTATTTGTATGGATGTGATAGCAAATACTAGAACATAGAGTCAAGTAAAACTAGACGAGCAACCTCAAGCCGTGTACAGTTTCAGATCCACTGTTTAATACGTGATGACTAACATTTGTCTGTAAAGGGGACATTCATCAAAGCATTGTGCATGGCTGCAAAAGAAATGACTGTGCATTTCCTCTCCCATATTAGGAATGCTCACACCACTTCATTGTACATGTGAACACATTTCCAGTATGTCTGTGGAACATAATCCTGGCTATCCTCCCTGATCACATTTAATAAGAGATCTGTGTGTATTTATCATTCCGTGATGTTTATTTCAAAAACATCAGGCTTTGGATCAATGAATTTCTGTGTTCAGGAATTGGGGAGCTACCTTTATGCCAATTCCGATGCGAAAGATTAGCCCAGGACTTCTTTTTATTTGCAAAGCACGTGACCTGCTACTGAGGTAGTGTGTGGCCCTTTCCTGCAGTAGTGTCTGCCAAAGACATGCAGTATTCTGAATCTTCTCCAGTAAGTTTGGGGAATTCAGATGCCAACAGCTGGTACTATCATAGAGACCGTACACACACTCGTGAAATCCTGAAAAATTGGCATAGGATGCTCTGCATCGAATGACTTCTGGCCTCTTGGGGCCATCCCAGAAGTTGATTTTACCGATAAAATACACCCTCATAGCTGTGGCAGTCTCCAGTTGGCTGAATGGATACATTAAACGATTGAAACCTGGAAACCCTGCATGTGGACAGGCTTGATGAGAGACTATTTTGCCCCCTTTTTTTTTGCTGAAACTCATCTGCATTTTCTCTTGCATAAAACCTTTTTTTAATAAATTAAATCTAAAGCTTGTGTTGACAGTTATGGTGCTCCTTTTATTCTTGGGATTCCTAAGTCTTTCTTCCTTCCGGGTGTGTTTGCAGGCAGCGGAATAAGCGGCATGAACAGCATGACAGGAGGGATGGGGATGGGGATGGGCATGGAGCGGATGAGCTCCACTTTCGACCGGATGGGCCCAACCATGGGGAGCGGCCTGGAGAGAAACCTGGAGATGGAACGAGGGTTTGTTCCTGGCCCAATGGGAAGTGGCGTCAGAGACCGAGTGGGCACCAAGGGCAACCAGATATTTGTCAGAAATGTAAGCCTCTGAATTAAACTGACTGACATTGTGGGTTCTTTGGCTTTTTCTTCTGTGTTACTGTGTGCTTATCTTCTTTTCAGCTTCCTTTTGATCTGACCTGGCAGAAGCTGAAGGAAAAATTCAGCCAGTGTGGTAAGTGTCAGCATAAATGCTGTTGCCTCTCAAAACAGAGATTGCTAGCCATAACCAAGATCGTAGGGTGAGGAGACCCGCATGCCTGCATTGATTTTTGGAATAGTCTGTAGACGCTTCCTTCCCACCCCATGTCCTGTGGAAGCCCTTTGGGCCTCTCAGAGGAGGTGTATTGCAGAGCGTTTGGGGCCAAGTGCTCCGGTTAGTGCAGAATTCTGGCGGGGCTTCTCAGGCCTTCCTGCTGTTGTATGTGAACTATGTGAGCCCTCTAGAATATACTCTGCCTTCGCTTGACGTGCCTGTTTCAAGGCACAGATTGCCCTTTCAAGGGAAACCTGACCTCCTTGCTGACTTGTCTTCTTCGCATTAAGAGGTCCCAGGCATCAACCGGGATGTGGGGTGCTAGTTCAGACGTCACAGCACAGGCGTTACTACTGTTGCTTAGACTCATGGCTTGTGTCTCATAGGTAAATGGTTTCCCTTGAGAATCCGTAGGCACTGTCCAGGACAGCAGATGTGAGGGATGGTGCAGTGTCCCAAACTAAAAATGTCACCTCATTCTTGCCCTTTTCTTGTTACCTTCATCCACTTGAAAAATATTTTCTTTCACTGTTACCTATCTTAAGACATCAATAATTAAGGTGGCTGTCACGTTAGTGGTGGAAATCCTGTTGTGTAGTTTTGCCTGTGCATGGCAAATAGCGTAACACGTAGTGATTTTTCACGGGCAGTTAACAAGTCCCTGATTAGGCACACCTGAAATTCCAAGCAAGGACTCATTAACTGCCAGTGAGAAGCTGATGGGAGTGACACCATTTGCTTTTCTCAGGCTGAAGTACACGATAGGGTTTTGATCTTTATAGTGATACGAAAGTTGAGCTTTTTATCTATTTCTTAATGTTGACTTAATGAATGATGACTCCTTGGCCAATGAGAAATTCATCAGAAATGTCTTTGTTGGATTTACTTGATTTCTGAGTCCATTGTTAATCTATAAATATGGTTCGCAAACAGAATTTTACGGTTGAGGACAAGTCGATCAAGATGGGTGATCACTTCTACTTAGGGAATGTTAAGATTTCAGACTCTATTATTGAAGTCATTAAACACCTCTGGTTTACCTATTCAATTTCATCTGATGAAGAAGGGCCACAGGAAAAAGATGTAGCATATTTAAGTTGGAGGAAAGTTTTGCTTTGAGCTGCGGGTAGCAGGAGGAAAGACACTGAAGCAGGATGTGGTCCAAATAGAAACCTTAGAGGAGGGAGAGCTAGAATACCGAAATGGGGGCTGAGGGGCAGGTGGATGGGGACAAGGGAAGGCCCGTCTGCAGGTTGTTGGGAAGGAAGAAGGCATGTGTGGAACACGCAGCTCTGTGGTCAAATGGCATTTGAAGCGATGATGGCTAAACTGAACTTCTGATTTTGTTTGTTCAGGTCATGTAATGTTTGCAGAAATAAAAATGGAGAACGGGAAATCGAAAGGCTGTGGAATAGTCAGATTTGACTCCCCAGAATCAGCAGAAAAAGCCTGTAGAATAATGAATGGCATAAAGATCAGTGGCAGAGAAATTGACGTACGTTTGGATCGCATTGCATAATTTATAATTAAATGTCCAGGAACATTCCTTTTGTCAGTTTAGCTTCTCTCTTCTCTCTCCCCTCCCTCCCCACACCCTCTAGAAAGTCATTTTTACTAACATTGTATGCTTTACTTGAGTTGGAAAAAAGAAAACTTTTAGAGCCCACCAGCCTTTAACAGTATAGTGTTTAATATACTGTGAACTTGTTATCTGACTCTTACTACATTTTGGGTTTTAAGGAGAACTTTCCTGACTTGTTCAGTGGTATGAACTTCCACACCTTCTCCTGCCGTCTAGAAGTGGTGGGATTCCATACCTCTCCAAAATCATGCTAAGTGTCTCTAGTCATTCAGTTTAAATGAATGGTTCTACTGTTTTTAATAAAACAAGCCATTTTCTCTGTTTAATAAAACCTGTATACTGGGACTTGTTTTGTGTTGGATTTCCCTGTATTCCAGTTACGTCACTGGGCTTGCTTCCTTCACCCTCTGCAATTTGTTTTCCATGCATTCATTGTTATTGCTACTCCTATTTCTGTGAGGAAACACCAGTTCTTGTCAGTTTTGAGTTTTATCATGTATTTTATGTCATGATGTGGAATTTCTGTAAATAGATTTTAGAGCCCAAAGGGCATATTATAGGATTTTTTTATTTGACTAAATGAATAAGCAAGTCCTTTTCATTCTTTGTTCTTATTTTTATTTTATCCTTTACGACAATGTTGAAAATGCAGCAGCACAAAACCTAGTTGCCACAAATCCCGAAAGGATTGTTTCCTATGACTCCAAGTTCATACAGAATGGATAAGATGGCATACGTGAAGTACATCATTAGACAGGCCGCCCCCAGTTTTTTGTCTAACTTCCAGCCATTCAGGTGAATGGCCAGAAATATGAAGACGATGGAGCAAACTAAGGAGATGGCAGTGTAAGTCAAACCACTGCTGTTCACTTGCACAGGACCGGCGCTGTCCACAAAGGCTGTTTTTATAAACCAGGGCAATCCCAAACACAGCAGATCAAATATATTGGATCCTATAATGTTGGACATGGCCATATCTCCTTTTCCTGCAAGATCAAACAGATTTTGTCAGCTTTCGGGAGAGACTTTGACCACAGCCCCATGTGGGATTTCTAAAATAGCTAGAACCTAATGGCGCTGGCTGCTAGTTCTTTAGTTCTAACATAAGCACCATAGGATGGGGGATTAAGAACCGTTTTAGTCTCCTATTCTGTCTCACATAGAGGCCTCCCCTGTTGCTTTCTTGGGAAGCTCTCCAGCCAGCCATGAAGGCATTGATCTTCTTTCCCTAATATTCTTTGGTTGGGAGAGGATCTTTTAAGTTAAGGAACTTTCTTCCAATTCTGAATGTTCAAGGTGTAGCAGTTTGTTCTTGATAACTATGTGACCTTACTGTGCTATGCTGATAGATCACGATGGGAAAAAAGATATGTCCAGTGTTGCAAGGTACTACATAACGGATCTGGCACTAAAAATCTGAAAGATGTACCTTTTCTGGCTACCAGCACACTCGCAATGGTATCGGGTATACTTGTTCCTGCTGCAAGCAATGTAAGGCCCATTACAGTATCTGGAATTTTCAAGGTTTCCCCTAGAACAAGAAAAATCAAGAGTAAACTTACATGCCTCTTATCAAATAATAGCTTTGAAGAGATTAAACAGTACCTTAGGAATAATTTGTTTATGACAATGAGTAGACTAATTGCGACTTGGGAATTGGTCCATTACAGAATAAGAGTGAAAGGTGAAATATTTCTAGCTTTGAGAACCCTGCCACTAAGCAGTATGAAGGTCTACGTGAAGCCTTCCTTCAAACAGAGAAGACAACTGGACTCTTCTTTTGGAGTAGCTGCAACCAAGAGAATCCCTCCTGTTACTTAGGCCACTTCATCACATGAGTTCTCAAAGTCATATGAACTGCTAACCTGCCTTAATGATCTGCTCTCAAAAGAAACACATGAATTATCCCTAGGGAGGAGGGGTATCACATCAGCTGATAATCCCTGCTCTTAAAACCTCCAAATGGCTTTGTTGTGTAAATTCGGATGGAAAAGTTACTTTACTGCCTAAAAGCCAAGAAAGGGGCACTGTTTTTATCACTGTAGTTGTTTATGATCCAGATTCTAAACTATTCCTACCAGATATAGAGTTCATATTTTCCATTGGTGGTGGTGCTGAAAATGAATTAAATAATCATTTTTACCCAGTTGTAACCTTGTGCACAGACAGATGAAAGATTCATCATGTGATTCTCATTTGTGACTGCTGCTATTTCACTGGCATCATGACAGATGGAATCTAGGAAAGGAATCCAGTGTAAAGTGGGCTGAGAAAGATGCTTAGTTCACGTTTGGAAAGAGACAGTTTTGATACAGGAATGCAGGTGAGTGTAACCATGGTGCATGGTGATGGAGCTACAGTCCTATGATAAGACTGTAGCCTTTTCAGGCAGATGTCCTTGGGTTCCATCTGTAACATTTCTGGTGAAATGCATCTGATCGGAAGAGATGCTGCCAGAGTAGATAAGGTTGGACTAGATGCACAAGAGCATCTAGTCACATTTTACCGTCTCTGTTTTAGTGTTCTCACGTTAGCTACATGAATTGGCTGTTTATGATTCCTTTGTGCCAAACAAAGACTGCTGAGCTTAGATTTCAGTTCTGCAGGACACAGCTGAATGTGTCTCTAGGATTTTATGAATTCCACCCCTTTTTATATAAAAGTAGGAGGCAGTTCTGATGTGAAAAAGATGACCCAGCAGCTACCCCTTCCAGTGTTTGGAGGGTGCTACTGGGCCATGCTGTGAGAAACACGAAGGGGTAGGCAAATAGGCTAGGATGCAAGATGCAAGCTCACTTAGTGCAGCAGCAGCTGTTTATGCCTTGCAGCACACAGACTGGGGGAGCAGAATTGTTGTGATTACTATTAACTTGGGTGGTTGGAATAGGCCCTATAGAAAGAATTGGCTTTGTGGGAAGAGGAAGCCATAATTACATGGCCACCTCAATAGAAAAAAACTGAAAAAGCAGGGTTTCCGTTCTAGATGCTGCTAAAGCACTTTTAAGTGGTATAAATTTTTACCCACTTAGCCAGGGTAACTTCATGCCTGATGAAAACAGACTGTTGTTCAGAAAAGCTTATGCCACGTCATGTTTGTGAGTCTGGAAGTTGCCAAAAGATGGCCGGCTCGGGTGCCGCAGACTCACGGGGCTGCCAGTGTTGCTAACTGGTGATGGTGAGCAGAAGGCTGGCCTGGCCTGGCCAAATACATACCCACGACTGTTACCATCCACACAAGAACGTATGTGAATGCAGAAATCCACACTGCTGACATGAAGAATGTAACCATGAACCAATTCTTCCAGAACCGTCTTCGGCAGTCAGGGGTAGTCCAATAGAACAAAGCAATCAGGGGAAGAGAGAGGACCCACAGAATCCTTTTCAGATCTGCCTCAGGCACAGTGAACACATTGGGAGGATCTGTCAGATAGAGAGAGAACCACTGGAGGAAGAAAATCTTGGTTCATAAAGAAACGCCACCCTTGGACACTTTTCCCAGGTATCGGGTGTGATCTAGCATATTGCAAGATCTGTTACTCACATAATACTTTCCAAGTAATGCAGGAATGTGTACTGTTAAGTTTCACGTTTGGGCCAGGATCTTAATCCTATATGTTATGAGCAACTGCATAAGCTGCTCACCCTCTCTGGCAGGGTCCTCTTCACAGACCGCCTCTCACTCTGGTAAGCCAGAGACAGCAGGCACTATATGATTGCCCCTTGGTGTGCACTGAAAATGTGAACAGGATTTTGGCCTTTAGGAATCCACTGGAGCGTTCGCTCACAGTTATAAGTCAAAACATGATTATTTATCAGGGACCTCCTGAAATTAATTAGAGTGAAGTTAATTATTTTTGGGCTAGAATTTCTAAAGCTTTTTCTAGGTAAGAGGTGCCCATGAATACCTTCAGAAACTGTATCGAGACCATGTAAGCTTATTGAAAGGTGAGAATAATCCGACTCGTCATGGAAGATCCCGCTGTCCGTTCTTGACTGTCGGTGCACAAGGGGCCCCACGTCCTCTTTCCATCCAATCAGGGGTTGCTGCTCTGCTTCATCTGGGGTCACTGTGAAGCAGGAGCTACAAGGACTGATCATCTTTATCACGTACTGGTTGATTTTAATGTCAAAACACAGAATCAGTATGTAGACTCCATATATCAACAGGAGGCAAGCGCATTCGTACCTGCAGTAACGTAAGAATTCATGTCAAAATCTTAAAACAGGAGCAGGAAGCATTTGTCAATTTGTGGTGGTTTTGCTAAATTAGAAGAAGCAGTCTGCTTGTGATGCATTGATTTATTTATTTTTTTGCAAACCTTTATGCCTTAAAAGGCTTGTCAAGTTTGATTTTCCTGCCCCTGCAAATGCATATATACAAGACCTCTTTTCTGTAGTTACGGATGTCTCTAGAATTAGTGACTGAAGGATGCTGGGCGGGGATGCAGTCATCCCATCCTGGAGGTGGAGAGGTGATAAGCAGTAGCCATTAGTCTTTACATTGACAGAATCCCCTGTCACAAGCCTCTTCCTTGTTTTTACAATAAATCAATCTTAAAAATGCCCCAAAAGCTTATATTGCCAATTGTCAGGTAAGAGTCTCCCACCTTTCAACTTTACTACATGACCCAGGTTCTGAGTGTGTTGGGAGATGGAGAATAAAATCTGTCTCATTTCTCTTTGATCATGTTACGCATCTATATTGTGATGTCCTTCACTTGCCCTTTTCTTCTAAATCAAATAACTCCACATCTTGTGACCCTTACTCGCAGACGTGTTACTTCAAAAACTGAACATTTAGGTGGTCTACTTTGCTTCCCCCACCCCCGGCTCCACAATATCTTTTTTCAGATGTGGTGCATGTGATTATGTCAGATGAATGAACCTTACATCACATGGTGTACACTTGGTTTGTTAAAAAAAACCCCAACAACCTAATACACTAAAATCAGTTCTTGCTATTTCCTGCCTGTTGGAAAATGAAGCCCTAGAGGCAATGACAATTCATCCTATATCTTATAAACTGAATATGGTCTTCCCTGGAACATTTTCCACCCTTCTGGGGCCTAGTCATGCTTGTTCTGCTCCTCTGTATTGCAGAGAATGGACTCTCAGGACTTGCATGCTGATAAATATTTAAGGTTAAAAAACCACTGGAGTGTATAGGAATTAGTGTACACCAAACTATTCCGTTGAACTGCCTTTTAACAAATAAGGTAACATTCACATATAAAAACTTCCAACAGAGGTGGTTTTCCGAGAATCTAGGGAAGCCTTAAGACTTCTCAATCTGTAGGACATCACCCGCACCCCACAGTGGCCTGTTTTTGTCAAATCAACACCCAACATAGCTTGCAAGAATACCTGGAGTGGTCTAGTCTTTGACCACGTGGCATCAGGTAGGCACTTACCAATAAACTTGATTGTCAATTATGATCGCAAGAACAGCGGCTGCGCTAACAGCATAGGCCAGAGAGTCTCTAAACAGGGGCCAACAGGACAGTCTTGAAACCTATTAAATGAAATGCAGAAGAAAAACGCAGGAGCATCTTGCAAGTTTTCTAGTAGCAGATGTTTTGGGTGATGCATCTTCCATATTTGGGGGGTCTAGCTAATCAGGAGATACTGTAAATATTGCCATGTCCCTCTGAAAGAGAGCAGGCAGTGAAACCCGAACATTTCTCTATAAATATATTTGCATAGACAATAATGTTGCAAGAGACAGCTCTTGGATTTAGACCTCCCCCCCCCCGCCTTCAGCTAAAACTTATCAAAACCCAGTATCGGGTGTAGTTTGCCAAAAGTTTTGACTGCCTCCAAATTGATTACATGCTGCTTTGCCGGCATGTTAAGTTTGCCTGCCCTTGGATTAAGTCGGCGTTGGCAGGAAGGAGCCCATGAGAAAAATGGTTTTACGAGTGCTGTATTGTAAAAGGCAGTACTTACCACACTAGAGAAGAGGCCGCAGGCTGCGCAGATCCCGAGGAGGTTGTATATAGCAGAGCCGAGGATGGTGCTGACGCCTATGTTTCCCTTTGTGACAAAAACACCTAGAAGGCAAAGCATCCCTCGATAGAATTGTTTGCACCTTTTCCCCAAATGGGCCGAAAGGCATTCTCTGTTCTCATTAAAGTGTGGCTTCACTTTACCTAGGAAAGCTGTGACCAGCTCAGGCGCAGAGCTGCCCGCTGCCATGAAAGTGGCTCCTGCAACGTCCGGGGAGAGGCCGAGGGCTGCAGCGAGTAAGTAAAGAGAAGGGAAGTAATAGGAGGGGAGGGGAGGGGGGGAAAGGTGAATATTGGATCTCTGCCTGAATTCTGGATGCTAACCATTTTATAAGCAGAGACAGATCTTGAAAAGATTTGTGCTGAAATACAACAGAGCACAAAGAACAAGGGCTCTGTTTAAGGGCTGTTCACTTGTATAGCAGAGAGGAGTGACCTCTTTAAAAAGGCAACCCCTTATGCAGATAAAAAGGGAAGGGGGGGGAACCCTGAAACTTACACTCGCTGATCATCTCTAGGGACGGAAGGAAGTAATCATCACATACAATGGACACAGCCAGGAACATATAAAGAATGATGATGAAATAGATAACAATGCCTCCATCTTCTCGCTCCTGCTGCGTAAAAAATCCTTCCGGGAATTCCGAAGATGGGGAGAGAATGCATTGGCTTTTGTTTTCTGAAAAGCAAGAGTCAGGAAGGTTTTTTAACCTGATGGCAGAGCGCATTTTTTGTTGCCTCGTGTTTGAGAAATCTTCTGAAGGGCCTTGTAAAGCCAGTAGACCTTTCTGATACAGTGAAGAAGCTGGTGGTTTCCCCTCCATCTAGACAGAGGCAGGATTCGTTTCATCTTTAGACCGAGCTTTGTCTTCAGCTCCTGAAAACTAGACAGTACTGTACTGTAATGATCTCCTCCTCTGGCTGGTCTTTCTTCTGCCAGGACCCCCTTAAGACACCCAGTTTTGCCTTGTTTGGAAAGATGGAGCAGGGGCTAGAGTGAGGGCCAGTCCTTAGATGGTGGGAGGCCAAGGATGTCCAGACAGGGCTGGGTGCAATGCCTCCTGCCCCTGCCCACCAGCCGCTGCTGGTGTGAGCTGCTCTGTGCCCTCTATTTTTGTTGAAAAGCTGTGTGGGCCGGGTTTTGCATGTACTGTAACTTGAAACAGACGTAAAGCAAGACACTCTTTAAAAAAAAAAAGGTGGCCAATCTCTTGCTGGTTCTAGCCAAGGCCCAGCTCCATGCCCAGCCACCCTTTACTAGAGAGTGAAGCCACACTGAGCCCAGGAGGTCTTTCTTTGTGGTATGCCCGACTGCCTTGCTCTTTGGCTGTTTTCTGCCCGACCCCACCCCCACCCCAAACTGGACACCTGCAGAGTCCACCCAAGTTTCTCCAGGCGACCTCCTCCTTGGTTTTTAGGAAGCGAACTGAGAACAAATTATAGAAAGCTGCCTTCTACCAGGGGGTGCATATTGACTGGAGATGCTCAAATGGGTTTTCTTTTGTGTAATCTATTGTTTGTTTTAGCTAGCAATAGTGTTTAGTGAACATACTGCATTCTTACTGCATTTATTACAGTGGTTTTTATTGCATGATTTTATTGTACATATGCTGTGAACCGCCCAGCAAGTGATAACACTGATGGGGCAGTATAGAAGGTGCAAATAGCAGATAAGTGGGTGACTGCTGTATAAACAAGTCCCTGCAAGGGCAGCCAGTTTACCCCAGTGCTCACCTGGCAGCGTTGAGGCCCTTCGAAGAGCAGCAGGACTTCAAGACGGTGGAGGGCAGCGCGGCCTCTGGCTGGCGATGCCTGCCCTTGCGCTGCCCGTGTGCGCGGGCGCGCAAGAGCGATCCTGCTTTCGATCGGGGCCGGGGCTGCGCTTTGCGCCCCTCCCCCTCCCCTGGCCTGCCAAGTGGATCGGTGTGGTTTTTGCTCCTCCGAGCCACTGCCCCCCGCCCCGCATCCCGGTGGATCTGCGCCCTCCTCACCCGAACCGCCTTTCCATCCCTGCTTAACTGGAAGAGGAGCGCGAGCGAAGCCCGCTCCGAGACCCCCCCCTGAAACCCTTCTCCACAACATGGCAGAAGGGGGAGGGGATGGATTTCTTTTCAGAAATAAAAGAAAGAGAACTTGGTAATTTGGAGAGAGCTGAGTGGTCACAGGGTTGGGGAGGGTTATCCACCCACAGACTGCATGACGCCTACCCTGGAAACAAAACTCTTCTCTCCCTCCTTCTCTCTGTCTCATCTGCCTCCTCCTTCTCTTTCCTTCTCCCTCCTTCCTCATCTTTTTCTCTGTCCTCTCCTTTCCTTATAGATATTTTTGGCGGGGGGGGGGAAGTTGGAAAAATCCAACTGGAGACCTTCTTTGCCTGCCACTTTCCCTCTCAGAATGTTCTGTCTTCCCCAACTCAATGAACAAAAGAGGGGTTAAGCCTGGGCTGTATTTTTAACAGTGAGGAGTTGCTCTTGGCAGGTTATCTTACTGTTAAACTATCCTTTTCTTCCCAGATTTTCTGCAAGGTCCTTTTGAACCTCGGCATCCCGCCGGTGGCTCGCTTCCCGACCGGGCGAGCGGGCGGCGGATGAAGGGGAGCGGGCCGGGGATCATGTGAGCCGGGCGCCGGGGCCTCCCCGCGGCTGGAGGGGCAGGACCGAAGGGAGGACCGGAGGAAGGAGGTCCCAAGGAGCGCGATGGGCCGGCGGGCGGGCCTCTGGGGGAGAGGGGCCAGGCGGCACCAGGGGAAGGGGCGGCCGGCCGGGCCTGCCTCCCTCCCGGGCTCCTCAAAGCCGCCTTTATTCCGCAAAGGAGGAGGGCGCCTGGTTTGCAGAGAACTGCCGGCACTCTCTTGACACCGTCTGCCTTAACCTTTCCTGGCTTTCCTGCTCCCTTTGAGCTCAGATGCAATCGGGAGGGGAGCTGTCGCAGAACGAAAGATTTCCCTGAAACAATATATGGCTGCAGGCTGTTGCTCTTGCAATGGCAAGTGTCTGAGGCAGCTTTGGCCTTGAATGGGCAATTAAAAGCCATTAACTTTACAAAAGACCCGCTCCCTTAATGGGTGAAATGGACCGACCCGGCGGCCAGCCTCTTGGCACGCGCCCTCCTTGTAGGCGGCTGGCTATGAGAGGTGACATTGTGAGCCCCTGCAAAAGGACCCCCTGCATTGCTGCAGGCTGGAGGTTTTATCTCCGCTCCGCTGTCCCTGCGTCTCCTTCCAGGCCCCCTGAACTGCCCTGGTCCCATCCTGTGTGATAAGGGAGAGACTTAGGTTTTTGTCCCCCCCCCGCCCCGCCCCACCCCACCGCGGTCAAGAGCTCAGAAGCGCTTAACAAAGTCTCCACAGGATGGAGCCCCGGCCGTTGAAAGGGCACCGAACCGGCTATCGTTTGTAGATCTGTCTCGTCCTCTAGATTTAGATGTAAAAAAAGAAAGACAGAATAGAAGCCGATATAGCCCTGGTTGAATGAATGCCGCAGCAAGACTGGTTCCGACGTGACCGGTTTGCTAAGGAAGCAGCCCTTGAGTGGCCGAGGTGGGTTTTTTCCTCCCCCCCCCCAGCCCCGCGCTCTTTCTGGGCGAAGGGGATTTATCTATCCCGCCCGCTGTTTATTCCAAAGGAAACCTGGCAGGGGCTGGGAGGGAATCAGGCGAGGCTTCCTCCGGGCTAGTTTCTGGTCGGTTGCTTCCGAGGCCCTCTTCAAACACCGAAGGATGGAATGGAATGGAGGGTTAGATGCTCAGGTCGCCAACCGTTTCCCCTGCACAGGCTTCTATCTGCCTCTCCAACCAGGATCGGGCCCCTTCAGCAGGCCCGGCCGGCGATCCGTTCCGCTCAGTCACGGGCGGCAGCTCCGGCTTTCATAAATATTTGCGAGTCAATTACGCGCAATCATATGCTGGGATTGTCGCTAACGATTTATTAGGAGGGGACTATTACGCGCTTCTTTGGTGTATTAGTCACACACAACAGGAAGAGGAAAGACAACCGCCTTGTTGCTTTTTTTCCTTCCCGTCCGCCGGCTGGTTGGTTTTCCATCCTCCCTTGGGCATCGCGGGCTGTGAGCGAGGAGGGAGGCCCCCAAAAGCGAACAGAAACTGGAAAGCCCGGACGGCCCTCCGCTGCTGCTGCTGCTGCTCTGCGGCGGGGGAGGGTGGTCGGTGGGCCTGGGAAGCACACCCGCATGATGAATGAAGGGGGCAAGCTTTTGAGCGCTGCAGAATGCTTGGTCAGGGCTGGTGAACCCTACATGATGGGGTGATTGGGGAGGGGGGGGGAAACGTACCCAGGGCCGCAGGCCTCTCCCGGGCGAAGCCAAGGAACCGGGAGTTGCCTGTAAGGAAACCAACCCCAAATCTGCAGCTTTTCTTGGGCCACCCAGAAATGCTGCATAATAACGAGCAAGGGCTTTTCGTTGAATAGGGCCGGCCCTTCAACCGACAGAGCAGGGGAGGGGAGGGGAGGGAAGGGGAGAACCCCGAAGCCCGGTTGATCACCACCGAGGCCGCGTTCCCTCCCGGTCTCAAAGCCGGGACCGAGCTGGATCGGGGCCTCTTCCTTTCTGCCAGAGC